ATCACCAGCAACAACAATAACAACAAAAAGCAACCAGTAGGGCTCCCAATGGTAAGAAACAGGGGAAAAATAACTCCTCTTACACACTCAGTCACACACGTGCATTTAATTTTATCCAACCACCATATCAGAGCACGTCACACAATAAAAATTTATTCTCAGTTTGATTTGAAGTTTTTTTTTTTTTTTGAGTTTTGAAAGCTAGAGTTCTGCAGCAATAGCGAGTAGGTATTTTGCTTTGATGAGAATCTACGAACCGTTTTCGTAAATTCGTTGAAGGTAGATATTTAATTTCTTGGCTGTCTCGGAGAACAAGCCAATGTTTTGTTTTTGTTGTTGTATCGTGGTGTGCTAAGGTATTCGGTTCGCCATTGTCTAGTGTTAGCTAGGTTATGTGTTGTTTGACTTGTTGGTTGTTCTGGTGGCTGTCGTTTGGTTACGTTGCTGTGAGAACAAGGTGTACAACAAACCAGCCTCACAGCAGCATACAGTTATGTTCAAAAGTTTTGGCTTAGCAGAACTAGGGATTTTATTAATCTTTTTAAATCTGCGGGTTTTTCATCTGTGGTTTTAAATATCGGAATTAAAAAGGGATCTGAATGAATCCAAAAAAAGGTTGGATTTGACAAAATCATCTAAGGATTAGAAAAAGAGGTAATAGAAACCGAATAGAATCACATCTTCATATCGACACCTATGTTTGAGTCACCGAGATGTGATGCTAGACTGGCTGCCACTACAATGTCCACGATATGGAATTGCCCTAAAAATGAGAAACATTCTTCAATACACCGCAAAAACTTGGCAAAATGCATGAACAAGTTAGAACGAATCAGTCGACTTTGCCGATTAATCACTCTTTGCCTACAATAGTGGCCAATAATCCTGCTTTAATTTATCAATTTTTTGTACGAATCGTACTGTACCTTTTCATTATATCATTCACCATACAATAGAGGGTATATTAAATTTATCATTTGGTTTGCAACACAAAGAAATATTCGTTGGAGACCCCAAAAAGTAAATATATTCTTGATCAGAAAGCCGATTGTAAGTCGATTTAGCTATGTCTGTCTGTCTGTCTATTGAAATCACGATAGAGTACACATTATTAAATCTAGAACTTTCAAAATTGGTACAAAGGTTTAAATTATATGCAGGCTAATTGGTATTGGAAATTGGAAAAAATTGGTATATTGGAAAATGGACTATATAGAGCCCCCATATAAGGGTACCTCCCAATTTTCGGAAGTTTTTTGCCACAATTTCTAAACAAATTATGTGAAATATTACATTTGGGGTTCTTGGTAAATCTCCCTACCAAAAATGTTCGATTTAGGTCCATTAATTAATGTAGCCCCCATATAACGGTACCTCCCGATCTACGATATTTTGATGGCACAATTTCCAAGCAAAATATATGATAATATGGGTTTTCCCAATTTGGGTTATTTTTCTAACCTCTACCATTCTGTGGAGGGTATATTAACTTTATCATTCCGTTTGTAAAAACTCGAAATACTCAGGATAGACCCTATAAAGTACATATATTCTTGATCAGCTTAAGATTCCAAGTCGATTTATCTATGCCCGTATGCCTGTCAGTCTGTTGTTATCATACTATCTTTCGAACGAATTGAGATAGAAGGGCAATTGAAAGTTTAGTTCGTAAATGGGTCATGTCGGTTAAAGTTCTCGTATGACACCCATATAACGGTACCGGCTTAATTCTAGTTTAGTAAAAACTCTTCAATTGTTTTTTTTTTTTTTAATTTTTTCCAGTGGTAGGTATTTTTACCCTGATCCCAGGAAACTATATTTTTCTTGGGGGACGCACCCGTGACATTGACATTTGGGTCGAAGGTGAGCAATTCCGGTTTATGATTAAATATTTGACTGAACTCTAGTTTAGTAAAAGCTCGTATTTTTGGAAAATTTTTTTCGTTTCTTGGGGGATGGACCCGGATATTTGACCTGAATATCTGGGTCCAAGACCCGGGTTAGACTCAAATCTACTTAACAGATATGGTCAATATAGGTACCATTTGAAAGCTAAAGCTAATCCAACAATTAGTATCATGTTGTTGGGAGTTGTATCAAAAGGCCAAATAATAGTTGACACAAAATGATTTTTCATGGATCCATTTTTTTTTTCATGGAACCGATTCTGCTCAGTACATTGAAATGATGATTTCAGTATAAAAAAACATTACTTCGCGTAGCCAGTATTGGATATACCAACAATAAAACAGCATCAGACTTAGAAAAACGTTGGTTCGCGAAGCCGGTAATGGACATACACAGAGGAAAAAATCTCAAGTGCCGACCGAAGGCGAAATAAAACAATTTCAAATTTAGAAAAACTTTGATTCGCGTAGCCGTTGATGGGCATACCTGGAGGAGAAAAGAAGTAGAAAAGCCAAAGGCCAGCTACATTAAAAAATGTACCAAATTTAGAAAACTTTGTTCCGCTAATAGTCTTACAAGACTATATTTTTGGATTCACACATATTGTAACCATAATGGGAACTTTTTCAAATTTTTAAGAGTTTTGTAAAAATCATAAAATCGATATCCGTTTTTAATAATCTTTCTTGTAACTACCTAACCGTTAAGAGAATCTCTATCCACAACAGATATTGATATTGCAACGTTTTGATTATTAGTTAATTGAGGGTTTTATAAAAATACACGAACAAAAATATTTTATTTTGACATAACTTCCGAACCGTTTGTATAACATCATTTCATCAGTTATTGGACAGGTATATTTATAAGGTTTTAAGTGATGCCTAGACTCGGAGCCGCATTTTCTGGTCAAATATCTGGGTACTGTTGTGTGACTCCTAAATTAAAAATGGAAAGTTTTTACTAAACTGCAGTTGAGCCGAAATTTGAGACGACATAAATTGTGGCTTTTGTTCAGCTAATTTGAATCACTCTGCACCAGCTAAGTGACAAAATTTTTTGAGCAACAAAAGGCTTAACTCTAGTTTAAAGTTAGGCATTTTTAACCTTGATCCCGGGAAACTTTTTTCTAGGGGGACGGACCCGGGACCCCAGAGTTTTGACCCGAAATATACCCATCCAACAAGTAGTCCAATGATGGAGTAAGTGATCTTTTCTGGGTCCGAAAAATGTATTAGCACAAATTGTAGCATTTTGGAAAGGTGTCAGCTATATTTTGGCATCAATTTTGTTCATCCCCATAATGGACCCTTTTTTGACTTTTTGGGAATTTATAAAAAATCAGGGTCCAAAAAATCGATAATTTGACTATAACTTCCGAAACATGATCACTTTCTCCATCATGTGACCACGTATTTTCATAAGCTTTAAAACGATACCTATATTGTCCATACCGGGTAAGTGGATCCGGGTCTTTAATCCAGGCCGGGTCTTTAACTCGGACTTTCGGTTCAAAAATCTGGGGTCCCGAATCCGTCCCCCAAGAAAAAAATAGTTTCCCGGAATCAGGGTCAAAATATCTTCCACTGGAAAAAATTAAAAAAAAAAACAGTTTATTTTACACTAGTGTTGTTTCGCAAAAAAATGCAATCAGGTCCCCAATGCTACTTATGATAAAATTGATCCGTGATTGTGCCGAAGTTTGGTCCGTGCGATCTCTTTTCAAGTGTCAGTAAAAACTGTTTATGAATTTGCAAATTCGTCATTTCGAGTGTGCCAACAATGTTTCTGCATAGGTATTTCACAATATTAAAAAAAAATAAGTTAACAACAAATTTTAACACAATAACAACACCGGCATCGAATACCAATTTAAAACTCACAAATTTTGTGATTTTGCTGAAGAAAACACTTTCAATAATTTTCTTAAACAAATGACACACCCTTAGTGTATTTGTTGTCGTCAATAGCAAAACAAAGAAGCGACAAACAAAAAATGGAGAGCTAAAGATAGCTTCCAATAAGAAAAAGGAAGGATATCATAAACAGCCAAAAGAAAATTTGATAAGTATTGATAATGTGGGCAAACAGGACCCTGACTAGAATTCACGGGGACACATAAAAACGCGCATAACACACAAAATAATTTGCTCCTTGACATTTGGCGTGCAGAAGATCAAACGTTATTTCGTTTTGTTGCTTTTCTTTTTGTTAAAAATTGTACTTTAAAACTGGCGGCGGGTTCTTAACATCATTTTTGTAGTTTTTTTCCATGCGTCTTCTTTTTCTTTTATTCTTGTGCGTCTTTACTGTATTCTCTTCTAGTAGGTTTCAAAGACCCCAATAAAATTGTACTTGACCAGTTAACTAACACACACACAAATCATTGTTATTTTTGCTTTGCACAACTGGCGGCTTACCACCACCAACCAACACTCTCATGGCACTCCGAGTAAGAAAATCTTAATAGAGAATTTCTTATAAGTCAGTTGCTTTTTTCACATACAAAATTTATTGTACAAACACTTATCAAGACGACACAACTTTAATTTGTTAACTATTTTCTATGTTTTTTACAACGTTTTTCTTTGCATTTTTTGCTTTTGTTCACTTCTACTTCGTCATCATCATCGATGGATATGGGAATTTTTAACTTAACCAAGCACAATTATTTCATTTCTCATTGCTTTTCATTATACTTCTTCCATCACAAACAACCCGCTTAAAAAACAACACAAACCCAGGCACACACACTTGTAAATTCACTCAATTGGAAGACATCTATTAGCATTTTACGGGAGAGAGAGCGAAATCAACAAAACATATACTCTCACGGTCTCTGCACCCAGTCGGTTAGTTGGTTGCCTTGTATTTCGTTGTTTTCTTTTTTTCTAGACTTGTTCAGAGAATGTGCCTGCCTTTGAAATTATATACACAATGCCAACAACAAGAACGATATATGAATTTGTTGTTACTTATTTTATGCTATTTGTTGTACTTTTTCGGCATTCGGCTAGTAATTTACACTCTTCGCATAAGAATTTGTTTATATATACACACACAAACAGAAAACAGACACTTAGTATATTTACCACAGAGAAATATTTGTTGCACGCTTTTTTCGTGAGTGTGTGTTTATTTTTCGCTTTGTTTGCCCGTTTTTTTTTTCTTCTTCTTTTGTTTATTGCGTTTTCTTTGTTGTTGCAGAAAGAAAAACTCAAAATTTCCAACAAAAAAATAAATAACGAACAAAATAATCGAATAAACTTTAGGCGTTGATTCTACATTTCACTTTTTCAATTCACACTGCTAGATTGACATAGCGCGTTAGAGCGTGCCGAACGTTTCAGAACTTTAGTCCCCAGAAAACTCGCGTATTCGCGTGATTGTTTGCTGTGTGTTCGGTTTTTGTCGACTGAATGAGACCTGCATACCGCGATACACTCACTTGAGGTTCGTTATCGTCATCGTCGCTGTTGACGTCGAAGTAAACGTCGCAGTCGATGTGTAGAGCAGTAACTCAAAACTCTCAGTTAATACATACTAAATATTCTCGCAGGTACGAAGAGTTTTTCTAAACATTATCTTCGTTACGAAACCATATATTTTCAATATTAGCCATGTAAAATATTTAGAAGAGTCCAAAGCTGAATTTTGCATTACAACATTTTGCAATTCTGTGAGGAGAATTGATAATTATTTAAAAATAAAAATGCCCTACATACAACGAACTGAGGAGAGAAACCAAATCAAGAAAGTTCTAGTGTTGTGAAGGAGTAAATTACTCGAATACTCAGTAGTGGGTAGTTAGAGTTGATTTCAGTGGGTAAAGACATAGAAGAGTTAGTGGGCCACGTAATGTATGACAATGCGCTTCAGTAATAACGATAGCAATAATTGGACTCTCAAAGCATTTACATTTCATTAATGATCTCGTTTATCAGTTTGCTTAAAATTTATTTATAAATAGTGTTAGCATTTACAGTCCTGAAAAAGTGGTAGACAGTAAAACTGCGTTTACAGAAATGAAGGTTAGGCTATTTGATTAACATATACATACACCCATGTTGGAAGAATACAGGTAGATGCGTGAACGCTTGGGAACATTGACATGTAAGCAAAGACTATAGTCGTGCGGGGCCAACCATGTGATTCCCTACAACACTACAATATGTTAGAAGCCCCTTTATGTACGAATCCATTTTGGAATATTTCGCTTTTAAAATTATGTCATGGAGCACTGCCCAGATATTACCCTTAACGTTTTGACCAGGGACATTTGCCCAATATTTACGCACTCCATCATGCTGTTAGTTGTTGTGGTCCATTTTACAGCTACATATACCAATGGTTATCAAAAATGCTAGAATTCCTCCGTTCTTAACACTCTTCAATTGTGTGAGCAGGAAATTTTTTGTTTTTAGTTCATTTGGCCTAGCCATTCTTGAGATATAAGCATTCTAGCTACACAGCTGCTGGGACAATGAATTGTCAAAACAATTTTGGAATTGAAACTGTTGAATGAAAAATTATTTAAATTTGTAAAAATTGTTGAAAAACGCGAATTATCCGAATGCCGTCGTATAAGAAAACATTTAAAAATCTACTTATATTTGAAAACACATTTAAAGTTTTTTGACATATCGATGTTCCCAAACGTTGAGGCATCTACCTGTATTTTTCTACCATGGATACACCCATAGGAGGATACATATGATGTTTGCTTACGAATGCTTGCACAATTAAAGAAAAACCCCAAAAATTGGCGAAGCAAAAAGGATATTATAACGGCAATCGATTTTAAAATATATTTATAATCATTACCATTTCCATGTTCCATTTTGTTATCATGAGGAAATAGAATTTTAATTTTTTGTTTTCGTCACAAAATCCAATTCCGAGAACATATTTTCTCTTTTAGTAAATCTGGATGAATAGATTGTGGTTAGGAAATAATAGCGCATAAACCGGATTTATTTAAGCAGATTTGCCATAAAAAATAGATTCATTCATTTTAAATCCAGTGCGGAATCTACAACGGAAAACATCGCTGGGTACAGCGTTAGGTGTTTCTGGTTTCTTTTCAAAAACAATTAGTCTTGATAACTCCAAAAAAATATTTTCAAATTGAATGCACAAAAATAAATAAACAAACAATAGAAAACATCTGATTGAATGTCAATTAATGAGAAGAAGAAGAGTTGCAAGCATGGTAGAAGAATATAGGTAGATGCATCAACGCTTGGAGCGTTGATATGTCTAAAATGTTTTATGAAAAATAAGTGGATTTTTTAATTTTTTTATACGACGCAAATCAGAGGTTCTTATAATATGAATTTTTCAACAATTTTTACAAATTTTAATAATTTTTCATTCAAAATCGGCTTGACAGTTCATTGTCCCAGCAGATGTGTCGATGCGACTACCTGTATTCTTCTACCATGGTTGCAAGTGATTGCAAGAAGAAAACAAGAATTTTCAAACTTTCACTGTAAGAATTGTCAAAATTTCTCTCTCCAACCGCTCTCTTTTGCAGAACTTTCGGGTTAACAGACGACTTCTAGTAAAAAATTTTACAAATAAACTTTTTTTTTGGCGTTATAGGTTCCATATCTTAGGTATACCAAGTTTATTTATGTGTTCTTGGACTTAAAGATATATATTTCAAACCCTTCATCTTAAGGAAACATTTTCGGTGATGTTAGTTTTTGTGTAGGCCTCGAATGACCTTTCAATTTAGGTCCATCTTCAGGGATCAAAATACAAGAAGTACCAGCTGAAAATGATACAAATCTCCACAATACCTGCTTTATGCATGGAGAATGAAAAAACGCTTGCAAACCTTTCCCTGTATATTAACTTATTACAAATTGTATACAACATAATATTAAGATAAATTCATTCCTTTTTATACCCTCCACCATAGTATATTAAGTTCGCCATTCCGTTTATAACACCTCGAAATATACATTTTAGACCCCACAAAGTATATATATTCTTGATCAGCATAAAATTCTATGTCGATTTAGCAATGTCCGTCCGTCGGTCCGTCTGTAGAAATCATTCCAGCTTCCGAAGGAAATGAAGTAAGTTGATAAAAATTTACTCAAATTTGTATTATGTCTGCAGGACTTTTGGTATTGAAAATGGTAGGTCTACGTCTTCGTATAGCCCCCATATAACGGTACCTCCCGATATGTGGTATTTTGATGATTTTAGCGACATTATATACCGGAATTGTTTCAAAATTGGTATTTGAAGTTCGTAATGGCTACTACAGCCTAAGACAGAAAATGGGCCATGTAGGTCCACGTCTTCGTATACCCCCTATATAACGGTACCTCCCGATATTCGGTATTTTTAAGATTTTAACGGATTTTTTAAATGCTTTTATTTTTTGAAAATTGCAAAATTCGTTTCAAAAGGTGGAGGGTATTCAAAGTTCGGCCGGGTCGAACTTACGTCTTTTTTACTTGTTTTTTTTTAGAATATTTTAATTTAAGAGTATATCGCGGAAAAAGAATGGAACGCCTTGGATTTTGCACATTCAAGAACAGAGGCATTGGACTTGTTTATTTGGTTACCTTCTTATGGATAGCTTACACGGGTCGTTACTTAGTCAGTATTCATTAAAAATGTTGTACAGTTTATTTATTATTTTCGCTTAAAAAATTGTCAGTTTTCCCGTAGATTTTTTTCGTCAATTTATTCATATCGTAATTTTGGCACAGTGTAAAGTACAACACACTAAATCAGCTGTTTATCAAACGATTATAGAAAAAAATCGATTACATAGGAAATGTCATCAAAACGGAACTAAAAATATATCGAGACTGTTTTCCTAGTCAAGATTCGACTTACAATTCTCTAATCACACAAACTTGGAAAACATAATTGTGGGTGTGCGTGCGTCGTGAAAACATCCCAGTAAACAATTTTTGCCGAATTCGGTCCGATTTCTGTCAGAATCTCTGAAAAAATGTCCGATTCTGATTCCGAATTCCTTCCGATTTCGGTACGAAAGTTGTATGGACGTGGTCACCGAATTCGGAAAGATTTTCTGAAAAAAATCTGAAAAAATATTAGATTTTCTGGACGAATTCGGTCCGAATTCGGTGAAAATTCTTGAAAAAATAGGAGAAAAAATTAGATTTTCGGAAAAGATTCGGAGGACAACTCCGAATTTCTGAAAGAAATCGGGCAGAATTCGCCTGGAAATTCGGCGGAATATTCAGATTTTCTGAAAGAAATCGGTCAGAATTCGAAAGAAAATTCGGAATAAAATTCAGATTTTCTGAAAAAAAAACGCTCAGAATTCGGGAGAAAGTTCCGATTTTCTGAAAGAAATCGTTCAGAATTCGGAAGAAATATTGAAAAAATCGTCACACCACTTAAAAATGAAAAAAAAACACATATTTATTTAAAAAACAAAAAATTTATTTCCGGTTTCGTAAAAATGTAGTTTAAATATTACATCTATAATACATTTACATTATAAATATTATTTTTATTAGGAACATAACATACAGTAGCACGTTTCTGTTTCAACTGCTAAACAAGAACTAAAAATAAAAAGCAGTGCACACAGAAAACCGGTATGTAGTTGTTTTTGCAATTTTTTTCCATCATATTTTTTTGGGAACGAAAGAGAAAGAGGCTGATTCACAACAACAACAAAACTTACATTTTTACAACGGAAAATCTAACAGTTCACAATAACAATAACAAATAGCATTTTTTCTTTGCGCTTTGTTGTTGTTGAGATCTTGAAATGAATGATCACAACAACAACTACTATGGGAGAGAATGTGTCAAACCACCACCATCCGTTTACATGTGGGAGAGAATATGCCAGAGCAATAGACAATCTACTCTCTCCGTTTGTACATTTTTCGAGTTTTTTTCGCTTAAAAACACAGGAAAATGTGCAGAAATTCTAAAAAAAAACGTTTAGAAAATCGGACCAAATTCTATCAGAAATTTCTGAAAAAAACGTCAGAAATTTCGGAAAAAAATCTAAAATCAGAGCAGTCGGAAAAAATTGTTTACTGGGATATTCCTCGATACGGTTTATATCTATTGGAATTTTTAGTTAGAAAATTTGCCAAAATCCTTCGCATATACACACAAAACAATAGAGCAACGTAACTCCAATTAGAAAAACGGAACACGAAGAAAGGGAGGAGAAAAATATATAATAAAATCGAAATAACAATTGAATGGTGAAAGTAATTGTTTTTAGAAAAGTGACTAATACTGACTGCCTAGAGATTTGAGAGAAAAAACATCATCATCAACAACATTCATTGAAAAAAAAAGTTCAAGAAACACACACACAAAAGGAAGCAAAGTGGTTGAAAAAAAGTCAGTGAGTGAGAAAATACAAAAACAACAAATAGCAACTTTATATATATTTATGTGTGAAAGATAGATAATACAAATCAAAAAATTTATTAAATCACAGTCATATCACAAAAAGGCACAAATTGAAAGCAACAACAACCGAAAATACAATAAAAAAAACAAAACCTTGAACGTGCCAGTTAACTCAAGTTAGCATTCTAGAAAACAATCCCATATTTCAAATAAAAGGAGGTGAAAACAGCACTTAAATGTCAGCCATGGATAACGAACCACGTACCGAATTGCAAGATTTGCAAATGAAGGCTACCCAAGTGGCCGATGAATCTGTGGAAAGTACCCGCCGTATGTTGGCCTACATGGAGGAGAGTAAGGAGGCTGGTATTCGCACCCTGGTCGCCTTGGATGATCAAGGTGAACAGTTGGATCGTATCGAAGAGGGTATGGATCGCATTAATGCGGACATGAAAGAAGCTGAAAAGAATTTAAGCGGCATGGAAAAATGCTGTGGCATTTGTGTCCTGCCCTGGAAAAAAGTATCTATCAAAGATGATGCTGACAATGCGTGGAAAAAAAATGATGATGGTAAAATTGTTAACAACCAGCCACAGCGTGTCATCGATGAAAGAGAACGGGGTGGTATGGGTCAGCCACCACAGACCGGTTACATAGCTCGCATTACAAATGATGCCCGCGAAGATGAAATGGATGAAAATCTTGGACAAGTCAATGCCATGTTGGGCAATTTACGTAATATGGCTTTGGATATGGGCTCAGAGCTGGAGAATCAGAACATACAGATTGACCGTATCAATGCAAAGGGTGATGCGAATAATGCGCGCATGTCGGGTGTCAATCAGAGGGCTAACAATTTGCTCAAGAGTTAAATTTAAGTATTACACAAAAAAACAGCACAACAACAATACCATTATTACACAAACATAGCAGCAATAGCAAAAATATAGAAGATGACAACAACACCCCCAAACAATACCACCCCAACAAAACAACAGGAAGAAAGTTCAAACAACCACCGCCCCACGAAACCAACCCCAAACTCAAGAATGCTCTCCCTTCTCCCCCCCAATACACACACAATATCCAGAACTAGAGCAACGATGTTAGCAAAACATTTCAAGACAAATTGTGTAAGGTATGTATTATTCATTGATACGGCTGTACTTTATGTGTGTGTCTTCTAACTTCCTGATTTACCTTAATAACATTTTCCTTCGTGCCACCGTCTCCACCTGCTTCTCACATTTATCGAATCGGTTGTTGTTTTTTGAATTGTTAGCCTAGTCGTCATCAGTATCGTCTCGAGCAATGTCAGTGACAGCTATAAAAACAAATTCCCTTCCTTACTTAGTACTGGTATGCATGTGGGTAAATGTGTTACGGCATGTCTAGTTCCGGCTAATGCGAGTATGTTATCTACATTTGCAAGGCACAACTTGTGTAGCAGGCAAGTGGAAGTTGGAGAACAACGGCTGCGAACAATTTTTAATGGAAGTTAACTTATGGCTGGAGAAATGTTATGGGTTATTATTAAAATGGGCGTGGTATCTTTATGCCCTTAACCATATGGCTAGATGGGGCATGTAGGTATAATCGTTTAGATTAGAAGATTTTAGATTATGGGTTTTCAACCCATATATGTTTGGACGCAATCCTTTGTCATTTTGATATGTTTGCTCGTTCGATGACTACCCTAGTTGGTCCAAAGTTTAGCCATAATAACATCCTTGTGGTTTCTACTAAGGTACTTGCAACTATGCCAATTCCTATTTTTAATAGCAAAAAGAAAAACAACTCTAGTTTAGTAAAATTATGTGCTTTTTCCCAGGATGCCGTATCCGGGTATTGGATATTTGATTCGAAAGTCTGTGTCCAAGATCATTTTAGACCCAGATCAGCTAAACTAATATTGACAAAATAGTTATAATTAGAAAGTTTATGTAAATATGTATACAACAATTTTCAATGAGGTCCCTATTATAAGTCCTTATTATACCAAATTGTAGTGGACACGAACCTTTCCAGAATGCTATGTAATTATATAATTATCTTTCCGGAATCGCAGATATAAGTCCAATAAGTGAATTCCCGTACCTGAGTTTTCTAAATTCTATACTGTTTTATGTAAATGGGCTTCGGACAGGGCTTTAGATTTTCTCCTCTGGAAATCCCCAACACCATTCAAGAAAACCAAAGTTTACTCTTATAGAGTTAGGTTAGAGGATGTGTAGTTGCAAATAAAATTGTAACTACCTTACTCCTTACCTTAATCCTGCGTGAAAATAAAAGTATGGAGAAATGAAAAAAAAGTTGAGAGAGAAAGAAGATAATATATGTTAGTAGATAAAGAGAAAGGCTTCGAAAAGAGTTATGAGTTATTCGAAAAGAGTTATGATTGATCCTTGCTGCGTGGTTCGTTGTTCCAGCTCGCTTTGGTTAGTTCTTAGTTCTAATGCTTTGATAAAATGACAAATGCTAAAAAGAATTATTAACTTATTAGCAAATCATGAACCTCCAAAAACAACCGCCAGTTTGTAATTCTACTTCTCCCTGGTTTCTTCATTTCATAAAGAGCTGTTTTAACATATTTTCATATTCCCGTATTTACATCCAGGTATATCAGTCTTTCCAGGGTCTTTAGAAGAATGGATGATAAACTGATTGGTCTATAGTTTGATAAAAGGGTGCTCGGGTGCGTCCCCAAAACTTCGTTCGAACTCCAAGACAAGTCAAACGTCTTACGCCATGAATATTCCTATGTCGTAAATCTTTGAAAGAGGGGCTTTGTGCTGAATTTTTGAGTTCAGAAAGTTCTGAACGTCAAATAAGAAGAAAACCAATAATAAAAGTCATAAAACGTCATTAACATAATTAAATATCTACGGAATTCGAGTTTTTTATAGCTCATTTGTGATCTAGAAAGTAAATTATAGAAAGGATGGTTTATTCAATTTGGCTATGAGCCAAAGAAATGAGAAGAGTAGATCTATCTACGATGTGCATCTGGTAACCACATCCATTAAGGGTTCTTACTTGTAGAAAAATATTTTCCAAGCATCCAAATCGAATTGCCAGAGTCATATTAAAAGAAAAGGATATTAAAACAATTATCTTCAATAGTTATGTGGAATACAGGCAAATTTTAACAAATCATCAACGTTTTTGACATCTGTGTGTAAACGTAACATTAATTATATTATATACTCACTATAATTTTGAAATTGCGATTTGATCTGGCACATACTTTTTATGGAATCAGAATCTTCCGATTTTGTTGGAAAATTATGAAAAAACGATTCATTTGAAAATTATTTTTTGTCAATCTTTACAAATTGTCAATAAATAACAATTGTTTTTTTCCAGAACCAGCAAGTTCCGACAACTTTTACAATTTTTACATTTTTATACCTCACGTTTACATTTTATACCTCACTGTAGTACGGGGTATTTTGTCTTTGTATATCCATCCATTCTCCTATCTGTTCATGTATTCTTGAAATCGTTTTTATTGTCCAATTGAGATGCATTTTGCACAGTTCATTTGTTTTGGCACAAGGACGAAGTCTATTGAAATTGATGATGATTGTTTCGGATTTGGATAATAGTTTCCATAATGTAGCAGCATAGTATCACTTTTTCAAGAATAAATTCTTGACGTAGCTAAATTCTTTCATTATTGAAGAATGTAATTATTGAAATATACCTACATAACCAGAGTGGGGTAGGGTGTATAGGACCCCACCGATGAAAATGTAACTCTTCCGATCCCTGCGTCAACCTAACACCTTGGTCACCGATGACTGTGCCAGAAAAAAACATATTTGGATATTCTAACCCTTACAATACATTACACACATTGGTAGCATTTGTGTTTCACCAAATCCTTAGATACAAGACAAGTTAAAAAGTTGTAAGTTCGGCCGGGCCGAATTTTGAATACATTCCACCATTTGGAACGAATTTGGCAATTCTCAAAAAAAATCTGTTAAAATCTTAAAAATTCCAAATGTAGCTGTTATTTTAAGATCTATACGAAGACATGGACCTGCATAGGTAGCTTTTGTCATAAGCCATCACAATATTCAAATGTGAAACTTAAAAAAAAAGGTGAATAATGTTACTAAAATCATCAAAATACCGAATATCGGGAGGTACCGTTATATGGGGGCTATACGTATATACGTAGTATCCATTACGAACTTCAAATACCAAATTTGAAACAATTCCAGTGAATAATGTCGCTTAAATTATCAAAATACCGAATATCGGGAGGTACCGATATATAGGGGCTATACGAAGACGTGGACCTGCAGAGACAATTTTCTGTCATAGGCTGTAGCATCCACTGGGAACATCAAATACCAAATTTGAAACAACTGCGGTGAATGATGTCGCTAAAATCAACAAAAACCGAATATTGGGTGGTACCGTTATATGGGGGCTATACAAAGACGTGGACCTGCACAGACAATTTTCTGTCATAGGCTGTAGTATCCATTTCGAACTTCGAATACCAAATTTGAAACAATTCCGGTGAATAATGTCGCTAAAATCAAATATCAAATCAAAATACCGAATATCGGGAGGTACCATTATATGGGGTCTATACCAAAATTCAATGCCAAAAGTCCTGCAAACATAATATACATTTGAGTAAAATTTTATCAATCTACTTCATTCCGTTCGGAAGCTAGAGTGACTTCCACGGACGGATAGACGGACGGACATCGCTAAATCGACATAGAATTTTATGCTGATCAAGAATAAACAGGGTGAGATGAAAAAACTGCAACAAACTTTAGACTGCTGTCATTTTGAAGCCACTCGCCCGACAGCTGTTAAAATTATTCCAGTGAGAGCTCATAATATTGTTTACAAGCCTATAAAAGCATTTCGGTGAGAATTTTTCAAAAAAAAAAAAAAAAAAAAAAATATATTCGCGATGGAATTCAAGCGTGATAGCGTAATTTCTTTATATTTGGCTGGAAAACTACAAGAGCACTCCAGCATTTAAATGGGAATAAATCTTTTGTGTCTCGTATATATACATTGTGGGGTCTAAAATTTATAAGGTGAGGTGTCACAAACGGAATGACAAACTTAATATACCCTCCATACTATGGTGGAGGGTATAAGAAAGTAATGTTATTTATATTTAAGCATTATGCGCTTGTTAACATCAAATACCCTTAATATTAATGAATTTACTGTATTTTAATAAACCCTTTTTTCCAAGTAGTTATTGGGTTAAGTATCTTATGTATATGTAAACACATCCTTTATGAGGAAATCACATTCCTCTTGAGAACAGTAAAGTACCAAAGAATTTGAATAGCAAAAAAAGAACGTGTCGTAGAAAACATACACATAAGTATGTATAAAGAATACGCGCTAGCTGTGGAAACACAAAGTGTTGCTGCCCTCGCCTCCTCCCAGCCTCATTGCAATGAAATCATTTTGTAAAATTGTATGTAACGACAAACGATATTATGTGCTCTGGGTTTTGCCAGGCATCACGACGTGAGTTGTAAGATTAGTTGTGACGATTTTTATGACTAGCTTTTGATGATGACTACATATTATAGTAATCCATTAAATTTTTTATATCATTTTCTATAAATATTAACAAGAGTTTTTGTGATTTATTATTTGCTTACTATGAACAACAAATGGCAGGTTCTCAGCGTTAAACAGATGTTGATGGTTTAACGTTTATTCAGCTATTTTTAGGATTTATGAGTTTAAAGCATAGTATTACAGTGACGTAAAGCTAAATGAAGGATTTCCTTCAGCGAATTCAAATTTAATTACTAATCTTCATTTAATTATAAAATGTGAAGAAAATATTTGAAATATAGTAGACATTCGACTGAGATTATGCAATGAAGATCTAGATCGTTAATAGACAAGACAGAGAATGGCTTAAGTGCTGGAAAGCCACACTACTCATTGCAGAAGGGCTACGGACTGACTAGACTATCTTTGTTTCAGTTTCTATATTAGGTTTGGCGCAATTAGTTATTCGAAAAATGTGCCCAATAAATCGGGCTAACATGAGGTGTTGGCTATTTTTGTTGGATTTTTTGATTCTGATTTTTATTTCAGAAAATCGAATAGATATGAAGAAAGCGGAGT